CAGCTTCATGTGTGTTTAATGAATCTACCCAATGCGGCATAGTCTACGTTCAATTCCAGGCTAGTCATCTTGAGCTTTGATTCGTTGGGAGACTAGGCGATCAACGACAAGTGGAGTCTGCTCAGTTAAAACAGACACTAGTACCACTATGGCTAGCCTCTCACCTCCTTAGTCATCGCGTAATCAGTTTCATCACGTACCATGCCCAACTCCACCCAACCTCATCAATTTCTCCTCCTAAATCCTCACAATGTCGCCCTCTGCAAACACCACAACAAACCACAACCAACGCCCCCCTCACCACCCGCTTCCCGAAGAAGAAGCCCGTACATCGCTGCTGCACCGTTATAAAATTCCGACTTATACCCACCGAACGAGCGCGAGCGCCTCCTTCCGTGGAATAACCGGGGTGCAGAAGGGACACGCGCTCCGACTCGCAGTCTATCTGGAGTCTGGGCATGACCTCGCAGTTTATCTGGAGGTCACGGGTCGCCTGTCAGCGAAACTGGTTTTTCTTCTAGGGTTGCTGTGGGAAAGGGTTTGGGATTATAGGTCAGGTACGTGTACGTGTCTTGGTATACTAAATTAATTGGTAGCGCGATGGCGTCGATTCAGTTAGATGCGGTAAAGGCGGTGCTTGCGTGGCAGCATAATGGTACGCCACGATATCTCGCTGAGCCTGATCCTAAGAGTTCTTCGATTCGATTTACGCTACACCTTAATACGACCTCGGCGCTCTTCGAAATTCAGATTCCCATTAGCTATAAGCAACACACCAAGACTTCAGCCATCTACATTCACGTCAACCCTCGGTCTATCATCTCCCTCACACCTTCCGTCGAACAAGACGTCCCCGATCCCGTCAAGCCTGTCCTTAGGTCTACGATATGTCTTAACTTCGAGCTCAACGACGCGATCACTATCCTCATCCCAAGCTTTATAAGCGAGCCAGTTACGGCTGCCCGATTGCGTTCCGGAGTCATACTTGACTCGCTCTATGAGTTGGTAGAGACAACCTCTTTACGCGTCTACATCCCCGACGATGCATTGTCTCAGGATCAGTTAGAGTCTCTCAGCTCCGCAACCATACAGCAGCTGAATCCATTCTCTGGTCCTGATTATGACATATCTCGTTGGTTCTCGGGTCGTGGTGCAAAGGTCACAACACTTGCGAAGCCTCCACCACCTTCTTACAATAAAGCCACGGTCGGCCAAACGAATGCACCCCTGTACAACGAAACATCAACCTTCGATCCACCTACCCCTTCCCACAAGCGCAAACGAAGCCAAGACTCAACTGGCAAACGAAGCCGGGAGGTAGTCCCTAATAACGCCACAATATGGGACAAGCTGCTAGAACTCGAGGCTGTAGTCCATAATCGTACACGACCCAATACCCCCGAGGACCAGTCACGGCATGTCCAGGAACTACAAGCCGAGGTCGCCAAGCTACAGACGCAACTCATCCAATGCGAGAAGACAGCTTTGGACCGAGAAACTGAGATTACCAAGCTACAAACACAACTCACTCAATGCGAAAAGAAAGTCGTGGACGGAGAAGCCGAGGTGGTGAAGCTGCAAACACAGCTAACACAATGCGAGAAGAAAGTCGTCGATCTGGACACCGAACTCGCAGGATTACGATATACCCAAGATAATGCCGACAACGAAGCGAGCGTGATAATAAGCGAGATAGAAGATACCCTCCGAGAGCACGAAGAAAAGATAGACTTTGTTACAAGAGGGAAGGACGATGATGAGTTTATGGATATCCTTAAGGAGGAGATACTCAGTGAACTCATTACGCGGATATCGCGTGGCTGAAGGTGCTATCATGGTATGTTGTTGATTTTGACGTGCGAGATACTTTGCTGATATGATGAACTAGATTCCAAGTACATAATAACCTTACAACGACGCATGTAATACGACTGCACGATTGATTTCGCATGAAGGATCTCAATCGTCCAACGAATTTCCGATCAACACTCACGACCTATAACAGAGCTGCCAGCTTAGCGCACGCAACCATCAAGTGACCATAATGGCCTACTCAACAAGTCTGCCACTGTATGTCGTTTGTTCCACATAACTGCTATATCTATATTGACTGTTCCTGCCAGTACGGAGCAAGACCTTGTATCTGGATAATCTACAAGAGCGGCAGAGGACTTCAAATCTGACCCATATCAATATCTGTGATACATAATATAATATATCTGCATGAATATTATTATTTGCCAATTACCCTTGCCGTTTACCTGTATTACTATGACTCTTCCCGTCTTGTGTATGATCGTTGGATAAGAAGTAACTCGGAATGTATTGACTGTTGTTACCAAAATCCTATTTCCATCCCACCAGAATCCTACTAATCCTCCAAAAATGGTAAAGAGATATAAGCAAGTCAGTCCGAGTAATAATAGTCATAGTCACAATCATCGATGATGTCTCTGCAACTAGTCGGTCCATGGTCGTCGTCCCAATAGCCGCCTGTGTAGGAGTACTCCGCCCTCTCAAATATCCTGTCGCCATCTCGCAAATCCTGGAAATTCCACCGCCCCGACATTGCTCTCTCAACAATCTCTGTTGCGTCTGTCATTTTATTGGTATCCACGACCACTTTAGCGTCGTTGGGAATGGCTTGGTTTATGTACTCCAAAGTAGTTGTCAGCCATGCTCTCCACTCCTCTTTCTCGTCATTCATGTTGTCCCTGCCTACTCGGTATGGATGTGCAGGTTCTGGCTGCTCGATGACTATTCCCAGTATCGATAGGTTATCAAGAAGCGTGTCGCAGATTGTCGGGTTCATATAAGAGTCGGCGTCATAAAACAGCCCGTCGGAGTCCAGCACCAGAATCACCTTGCGGAAGTGCTCCCTTGTCTTGAGGCTGAATAGGCTTGCCAGATAAGCTTCGCCGGCAGATTTATCCACCGTCAGAGTAATGCTCCTGTATAGAATGGGCTTGATTTCATCCGTGATCTGACGGCACACGAGAAGTAGTCCAGGAAATACACTTCGACGACCTGAAAACATATTGGTTCTGTCCAGCATTGATTGCCCCGACAAGCTTCCGTCGTCAGCCTCCACAAGGTTTGATTCAATAACGTCTTCAGAAGCGTCCTCAAGAACAGGAATATCTTCAGTCCCATGGGTCTCTTGCTTGTATTGAAACCCGTCACCTTCTCCACCGACCACACACATATCGTGATTCACGATAAGACGAAAGTTAGGCGGAATGCATAACTCATAAATTTGTTGACGAATTTCTCTCGGTATCGCGAAGAGCAGGCTGCAGTTTGAGGGGTTGAGCTGAGGCATGATTATAGATAGAAACTCTCATCCAATTGAAAATAAAGTTTTGCCAGAGACGTAGTCATCGCGGGTGTGAGGTGTGCCAGATGCAAAGGTGGCGTCGAGGAGGATCTGGAAGGACGGTTGTTGTTGTAGCAAGGGCGGTTGCAACGTAGATAGAAGGGAGAGAAACAGATCAGAAGTAAGTAAGCAAGGCATTTTATAGCTGAGCCTAAACCCCATACTAGGGTAGAGGAAAAACGGGCTTATGCAATTCTTCGAGACATAAGCCTCTAAAAGTGTAACCTTATTGAGGAGAGCCTTAACTATTATTATGCCGTCCGAGGACGATTTGGTCGGCCTCCCGCAGTTGACGACATGCAAGGTTAATGTCAGTAATTGGTCAGCACAAACGCCACTTACTCGTATGAGCTGTCAATTTTGTGGCAAACGAAGAGGCAGGGGATATCATCAGCTGGCTAACAAGAAACTCCGCCATCTCCGGAGGGCGTTGCATTATTGCGTCAAGCTACGCCGTTTACAACATTTTGAATCGCAAGTCCATATGACTCCTTTCTCAACCGACTCGGACATTTCCTTTTCAGATTAGCCCTCAATCTTCGACGCGAGCTAATATCCCGGAGTCAGAATACATGTCTCAGGCCCATCTTCTTTTATCACAGGGAGAGATTCATCGTCAGCTTCGGACGCATCCCTCTGATTGGGAGCGCGATTCACTCACGTTCCCCTGATCTCTCGCCCGTCTCTAAGCAACAATATCAAGCACTAGACGACATTGAGCATGCTGCTCGAAAAGTACAATTGGAAATCAAGACTCAACCAGGTGATATTCATTTCATCAACAATTTCTTCATATTACACAGACGCGACTGCTTCGAGGACGATGATCAAGTTGGCGAGAAACAGCATCTGGTACGGATGAGACTTCAAGATGATGCTTTGCACTGGGACCTACCTGAAAGTCTAAGAAATGAATGGTCAAAGTCGTTTGATGGAGTGTCTGCAAAGCTGTGGCATGTTGATTCAATGCCTAAAGGGAATTTTCCGCTTAGGTCATTCCCAAATTAAAGTTATAGGCCAGGCCTGTAAATGTGTCAAGTCATAACATTATCCTCTGAGGTAGATCATGCAAGGTAGATTATACAATTTACCGTAATAACAAGGCGAGCCATTTGAGTCCGTTGAAAGTTACGAAAGTTAGTTGAAATAAGGTTCATAGAAGAAAAAGAACGAATTTACCTCATTTCTTCCCCACCACCTGAATTTGCCCTTCACTTAACAAAAACATCATCCCAACATCCCCGACTAGTTTTCCAGATCGTCACGAATGGAAGCCCTTGTCAGGGTGTCTGAAGGATCTGCCGCTGGAATCATGAGAGACAAAACAACTTAGTCATCTTACGCGAGCTTGATCTACAGCTTAGGCTACTTGATTTTGACAGCCGAAGCTGAAGCTAAGATGCTATTCAAACAAGCTCAGCGCGAGGCAGCAAAAGAACTCGAAGCGCTACCCAACCGTCAATCTTCCCGTTCCAAGAGCGAGCCACATGTATCAAGGAGGTAGTTCGATGTAACGGTTGCACAAGCCGTTAAACCACAGGGCAAAAGATCGGGCCATAATCGCTATGCAAGCAATCATGGGTGTGCTACAGCTGCCTTATAAAAGCCTTACAGCGCTGTTACGGGCACGAATCGTAACAATCGACTCACGACTCACCGTGAGCCACCTACTATATATACACATTCGTTTAGCAGTAGATAGAACTTAGCTCACCAGCTATCAATAAGACTTCTTTACATCAATAAGCCTAGCACGCACTACTTGATCATTAAGAGACGTGACAACCAACCCGCTCAGTCTAACGCCCAACGCACTCTGCAAACATAAACCTAGTACGGACTAGTTTCCCTGTTTGAAACCACATTCGTCGCATGCACTTGTTTGGTGCACGCGCTTATCGTGTACGTTATATTAAAACAAAAAGGATATAAATGAGGTTTGAAGACGACACAGGCACAGAACTATGCCCAGGTTGCCGCTAAACAACCAAGGCAAGTTCTATGCCTGTGCCGATACCTATGTTATAATAATGACAGTATATAAAGGATAGTAATTAACATCTAAACGTCTGCTGATTTCCTTCTAACGTTAACGTACATGATAAGCGAGTGCCTCAGACAAGCGAGTGTCTCACCTCACTTTACACCTAAAAAGCTGACTTTTCAAAGCTTATATAGAATTCAGGCTAAGTCTAAAAAAGCTAAAAGCTGTATAACTTACTTTTAACTATATGATAAAGCTACATACTTCATAGGAGAATTATAGCTAAATTATTTATAGAGTTATTAAAGAAAATATATTTATATGTATTTTAGCAGGTTTTTTATATAATATAATATTAAAAAAAAATCTAAAAAATAGTATCTTAGTTTAAAAGCTATACTACTTAAAACTATAGTTTTTAATATTTTCTATTATTTTATGTATGTATGTATGTATGTATGTATGTATGTATATTTTTCGTCCGGGGGCCGTGAGGCCCGTAAAGTCCCCTATTGGGGCACAGGACGTGCTGAGCTAGAGTCTCTAGTGCTAAAATCTAC